ACAACTTACTCGTCGTAATCGCAATGCAATATTAAAATTATTATTATTTTTTTTTATTGAAATTAAGCCGGGCGATTTGGGCCAATAGTTGTTGTAGGAGTTATGAACTTTGGGCAGAGGTAAGGTTGGTACGGTAGGTTGTTTTTACGATTGTAATTATTATTATCACATTAATATCGATAACGTTGTACCAGTTTGTACATAAAAATAACATAAAAGTAGGTAACTTTGATTTGCTCTTGTATAAGTTTGATTTTATTATTATTATTATTATATCAGTATTTTAAAACCAGTTCATAGGTATAAAAAAAAAAGTAACTGCAAGTGCCACCAAAAAAGTGTTGACCGCATTTGTGCCGACATCGTTTGTACAATATAACGTTACCCATGAACACTAAATTAATATTCAAAGAAGAAAATTTACTGGAAACTAATTATGTGCTATCGATATTGACTGATTGTCAAAAAACGGTTAAACTTAAATATGTAGACCACATTATACGCATATTTAACCGATGTAACTAGAAGAATAAAGGTTGCAATTGTTATCAAAAGAAAGATACTTTATTGAAAATATCTGGAACGCGAGGGAATCGATTTTAATCAAACAACTCCGCGGTAGTATTTGATTTTTCGCGAAGAGCAATTGAGAGCAATTTAACACTATTGAAATATTATATTATTCTGACAAGATAATCATTGAGCATTGTGTGTTGTTACAAGTTAATGGGTATGAACGAATATATACTATATACCATAATATGAGTGTGAAAATTACTAAAATGGTATGTATTACTATATATTATTACATGGTCATTAATGATTTTAGAAATAAATGGTTTATTTAAAGTATATACGTATACATTTATTATACACCGCACATCAAAGTAATCATACATGGTCTGTTTTGTATGTTATACGTTTGGTAAAAAAAAAAATATATCATTGTTTATGAAATGAGTCTCAAGTATTGAAGCTTGGAGTACAATATTATTTATGCGCATTTCAAGTAGTTAGTCGCGTGAAAAGCCGCAACTCGTATAAGATATATTTGAGTACCTACCCATAAGTCTTTAGTTCATTTCAGTTCATATAAAATAAGTAATAACGATAATATGTCAATGTGCCTGTAGCAGGTCAACGTTCGAAAATGATTGTTTATGATTTATTGATAAACGTATCCAATAAATTTAAGGTCGTTGAATCAATAAATGTTACAATAATATGATGCAAGTTAACCTATACCACGGTATTTCTTATATCGTCATTTTCAGCCTATCTGACCAAACTTTTTATACCTACTTACCGGAATATTATCCCTGTATTATTGGGTTGACTTAGCAAAACGTATTAACTAGGTACGTTTACCCATACTTATTTATTTGATAACGATTGCAGTACAGTAACTGCAACAAACTCATGACTAAATGATACGTTTTACTGTGTTTATTGTATGTTACGTGTTCCATTAGACTTTATTTGTGTTTAGAATATAAAAAACATTTTAATTATAGTTAAATATTATTATATGCTACTTTATCAATGTACGTAGGTTTACTGTTTTTTGTTTTAAACACATAATTAATGCTAGTATCTAAACGTTAATTCTTTTAAATATCTCAAACAATCAGTTATTATATAAAACATTCAAGACATTTTAATTTAGTCACACAAGTATATATATATTCATATTTACGAATCGTAAATATTCACGTAAAATTAATTATAGGTTCATTTTAATACTCGTCGCGAGTGTCTTTATTTAATAAGAATTCCTGAAAATTTGATGGTATTTATTACTTACATATATAGTTTATGTCGTTTATGATAAATGTTTTGATTATCAAAGTTAGTTTTAATGTTTATTGAGTATTATAATATTATAGTCTCATTAAAAATTAAATTTAAAAATAAAATTTTACATTTTTTTAGATCTTTATGAAGATATTTTTTCATCTGTTACAAATACAAGTATGACCAGATTTATACATTAAGAATAATGTATTTTTACAATAATATATGTATAACTTACATTTAAAAAATAATAATGTATACACAAATATATAATAAATTATTTTTTATTCATTTAAGTTTAATGTATTTATATAATATATTAGTATTATAACTATTTCAATTATTTTTTCGTCAGATAAAACGAGACATGATGTACGTCGCTATAAAATCTCGGACAATCATTCATCTGGAATTCACACATAAGTTAAAACGTAAGCGCAAGACGGCGACTACAAAATTCTTTCCTCTGTGATCCGAGTTGATATTTACATATTATAAGTACGATAACACAAAAGAACCAGTTAATACATTTAAAAATAAAAATAATATTAGTTGTATTTAGTGAAAAGTTTAATTTTGAAACTAGAATTTGTAATATTAAAGTATGAAGTATAAAAATTACAATTATTTGCATATTATAAAAAATTTGTAATTTTATATAATATTTAAAATAAATAAATATAAATAAATAGTGATAATAATTTATTTTTTAAGCCGTAATTCTCCCATTATATTGTTATATGTCTACATTAAACATTTAATTTATTATAAAACTATTGGAGTCTATGTGCAGTATTAAATTGCAGAAACTTTTTTGTTAAACTAAACATTTTCTATAGGCTATAGAGATATTACCAACACAATAAAATAAAAAGTACATAATATATTCTTAAAAAAAAATCTTTCATTCGATGGTATAACTCAGTACAAGGTCAAAAATCGATCTATATTGTACTTAGATTTAATACCTTTTCAAAGTATGATATCATTCGTGAAGATTTGTAATAAATAAAATGTGAAATAGCCAAGGTAGTGTGGTATCATAGGTTAAAAAGTAATAGAAAATATACAACAATGCCGTGGAAAATACGACAAGAATTAAGTAATTTGTTCCTTTGAGCAATCAATTTCTAGTTAAAAATGAATGATTATTTTCCAAATCGTAGACTTAATAAATATTATTGCATCTAATTTTTAAGTTTATAAATATATTTTTTTGTTTTTACAATAGCTAGTGTTAAACAATTATTTTATTTAAATGGCTAAACAATAAATACAGTGTTATTATTATATAGTTTGATTTATTTGTATAACTATTATAATATATAGTGTCTATACTTAAAAGATGTGTTAACATAATTGTATACAATATTACTAACGTAAAACAAGGTGCATAAAATATAAATTGCATAACTACTTCCAACATTTAACAATGAATTAAGTAGGTAGGTTTAATACATAAACACTATAAACAGTTTAATACGACGCATTTTCTCAAGATCGTGTACACCTATAAATTTACATAATATGTATTATAATCGGTTGACATATTATGTATGTTTCAGTCATTACATTTATTTGAGAATTAAGATTTTTAAACATTTGAATGATAGATGGGTAAGTTATCATATTTTAATTATTATATTTTATCATGATGAACGTTTAAAATAGTTTTCAAGTATCTGAAGTAACATAAACGTACAGATATAAGTAACGTCAAATAATCATTATTCAGCATTGTAAATAATGCGTAAAACAAACGTCTCTAGACTTAATACTATTTTATGATTACATTCGTCAAGGTAACGTTACGTACATTTTAATACGCTATATAATGTATAATGTTTATAAACATTACGATTTAAATGTAATAGACAATATTCTTATAGTTCCAACAAAAATAAGTCTACAAATTCAATTTTTAGTTTCTCTATAGTTAACTATTTTATAAGAAAATATTTGTGTAAATTACTGCAAGATATAATATTTTACTATGTTTATTTTCGGCATATCTACTCGACTGAATTTCAAATTTAAATAAAATTGATGACAAGTGTTTTTTGTTATGTTTTTATTGTATGTATAATATGCAATTCATTAGCTCTTCTTTATTAGTAAAATTCCATTTCATATATATGATACATTATGTATAGTTAGTTAATTATCTTTTTAGATAGTAAAACACGTTTTTCTTTTACAAAAAAACCCATAAATAGTATTAATTAAAAAGTATCGATTCGTATAACTTATAAATTATAATGATATTAATGTAAAAGATATTAATTTAGGTATATGATCTATGCATTATTAAATATATGTTTTTTTATAAGTAGTAGATTCATATTAACTTATTATATAATATAAATGAGTAAAATATATATTATCATATTATTCTAATGGTATATTTTAAATTCAAATGTATTATGATCGGGGACGTTATTATACTATAAATACGTTTTTGTTTATGACAAATATCTACGTTACTTGATAAATTTGTATATTGTATAACTCTCGAATAAAATGATTCATAACTGTGCATTTTTCAGATGAACCTAATTACAATAATGTATGTGCGTCTTCTCTTTTATATAATATATATATATAAAAGAATATATAATATTATGACGTATGTATATTTCGTATATTATCATCGTTTATCGTGACTGGCTCAAGCTCTGCAGATTTCGTATTCGACCCTAACTCGACGTGGTCTGACTCAAAAAGTTTCCCTACCGGCGACGTTCGGTTGAAAGAAAATAATCATTATTAATATTATGATATTGTATTACTACTATCGCGTGTAGGCGGTATTAAACGATTCGTAGTTCCTATCCGCGCTACACGTAATAATAATAATAATAATAATAATAATACTGTAATAATATCATTATAAGACGCGCGTGTGGTATTCTGTTTATATCAAAAAGTACATACACAATAGAAAATATCTACTATATCATATTGCACAAATGATATTTTATACCAAATATTATGACGTATGTAGTATATGGAGTCCGTGGAGAGACTTTAACGCAGTACCGCGTGCGGCGCGAACTCGCCACGAAACCCAATAGCGATTTGATATTTTATTTCGAACGTAAGTATACAAAAAAAAACAGATATATAACAACGTATAGTAATAGTGTTGTGCTTAAAAAGTTTTACTTTTTAATTTTTTGACAAGTGATCATAGGACATGGACTTACCGAGATTTCATACGTACGATCATCTCAAAAAGGTCGCATTCGCGGCCGCTAACACATTTCAGTCGTATACACGCGATATATACAGGCGCGTATATATATAATATAGCACTCGTTCGCGAGAGAACTTCGGCGGTAAATATAATTGTCACAATTATGACAGACGAGTACGATAATTTATATTGTATTTTTATGCGAATCAATCACTCGACGAGTTGTGACTTGTGAGTATACGTGCCGATCTCGGCCGCGTGTCCCGGTCGAGACGAATTAGACTACGGAGTCATCGATGACTGTTACTCGCACGGTGATGGCCAGGCCGCGGTTCGCGTCACACTGAACACTGCTCATTCAAAAACGAAAAAACAAGAATACAACAAAACGTAGAAACACACGGAATCGGTCTGGTCGACGGGCCGTACGCAAGCGGCGTGTCCGCAGTCGACTCCCACTACATTACGATAATGTTTATGCGTGTACATAATGTGCGCGACTGCATCACATCGTTCGGGCAGTGGAGGTGAGTTCTTACGTCATCGCTACGAGACCCACATTTCTTGGGCGGCGGCGATGTACTTACCTATATTTATACGATATAATAGACATTATGTACGTCTATACGTTGCATTGTGCCCATCGCGCGACCACGAGATCAATCTCAAAATCCCGGAAATCCTACGATGTCGTGTTATTGCACTACGTCTACGTGAAGCTATTATAATTGAACTAAATGTATAGTACCTACGTGTCTATCGAAACAACACCGTATTATTATACACCTGCGCTATCTTCTATGAACTTCGTATTATAATATATATATACATTTATAAATGTAATTTAATTTTACACACTAAGCTGAACATTTTTTTTCTATCTATTTTTTATCGAGTCATAACTGTAATATTAATATTATTCTATTGTCTTGGGTGCATTTTATTTTTACATTTTGTTGAGCAGTAAGGTAACAGTAAGATAATGAGATACGGTATTGCAAATTATTATATAATTATAATAAATTGCAATACGTTTTTGCGGAAAAATCATAAATATTAACTATTTTTTATTGTTGTGATTTATCGCAGGGTTTCTCCTTTTTTAATCCATTATACTCTCACGTTTAATTAAATTTTTGAATATCGTTAATAATTATTATTTACGATTACGACCGTTTAAATACTGCTTTTCGGATGAACAGAGTACACAAGTGAATAAAAGATTTAATAGGATTTCTCCGAGACACTCAACTTCTCAATTATTATTTTATGAGTGGTGGTTATCTAGCGATCTTCCTTCTTCTAATTATCTAACCGTAAAGAGTCGAGTGTTGATTAAGGGAGGTATTATTTAGTTAGTACCAATGAATGTAATTTCAAGCATAATAAAAGATGAAAATATGGATAAAATTCTATAGAAATTAAAATTATACATATTTATTGATAGCAACTCATATTATATATATATTTTTGCATACAATTTATGTGAGAATAAATACCGATTTGGAATTTTTAAGTATACTTTAAGGGTTGTCATACCTCCCAATTTTACTTGAACTGTTGCAGTTATGAATATAAACTATAGTTGTAAATTGTTTAGAGATTTAACCTCAATGTTAACTTTTTTAATATCTCTAGTAGAAAAACAATATGGTTTCGATAATAATATCAAATTAACTAACAAATTTTCAAATAAACATGGATTGAAAATAATTTTTATTTTTATTAAAATAATTTTATTTTATTTATATACATAAAAAAATTATAATATATACTTATTGTACCTATTAAAAACGGTTTAAATGTTTTATTTATTGATTTATATTTTATGATATGGTAATACGTGGAGTTTATGTATTTGTCAAATAGCAAATATGTGTTAACCGTGAAGGAATGATACGATTTTTTACTTAAAAATTACACAAAAAATCTTTATTCGTTGTTCCAGTTTATATAAAATTAAAATAAAGTAACCCTAAATACTGTCACTTGATAAAAGGGTGTCTTATACTAAAAAATAAATATATTCTTCATTATAATTCGCTTATTATATAGATATTATTATTATTTGTACTCTATATTACAGGTAATATCGTTAGGTAATTTCTCGGAGAGCCGAAATCAGTTTCGAGACGCACTCGTCAAACATCTCGCGCATCTCGAAACTGACCGAAATAACGCGATTTCGGTTCACTATTATTATCATTTTCGTCGTGATCATCATGATCATGATCACGATACGTATATCGCTATTATTACTTCTATATATTTATGAATACATGTGTGTATATACGTCATCGGTTTTCCGTCAAAAATCGTTTACAAGAGACAAGACACGCCAATCATCGATCGTCATAAACCGCAACGAGAGTGTATAAGTGCGTGTGCCGCGTGCAATCGATATAGAATAGAATAATGTTTGATTGGTTTGACTAAACCATTTATCGTCTTGAACCACCAATTATTGTTATTCGCTAAAATACGATGATAAATAAAAGTGGATATAATATTACATAATACAAAGTTTTTACGTGAATGCAATCGATAACTATTTTTCTAATTGATGTTCTTGAAAAATAAGTACAACTTTAATAGTGATTTATTGCAATATTTTAAAAATTTACAAAATTTGCTTGGTCTACCCACAATTGAAATTGTTGTTTTTGTTTTTATTATTAATTATAATTTGTCGGTTGTCCGCGCACCTAGTCCAAACAGCTGTATAGCACTAGGCCATCACGTGAGGTTGAGGGTTCATTTGCCCCACTCGTAATGTTTTATGAAAACATATTTTTTTTATATAATATTATAAATTTTAATTTTTAATTTATGCATAAATTCTACTGACAGTGTAGGCTCTGTACCTATAGAATCCGTCCAACCCAGACGGGACATCTTAGTTGTAAAACTGTACACACCAATATAATGCGTATACTACTATACCAATTAGCATACTGCGTTATAGTATTTATAACGTTTTATCGAATCGGTTTTGGCAGGTCGCACGCCTCAGGTGAAAAACAAAACCACTTCTGACGTTATAATATACGATTATATTATCATTATTACCAATATTATAGGTATACCATAATATTATACATATTTTATGTATTATTATCGGTATATAATAATATTATATGTATGTTGTAGGATATCGCGCAATAATATCACGCGATTTTTATTCGATTATGATTACCACCCGAGACGACGTTCAATTAATTATCCAATACACGACTGCGTGCTGCTACCGGTCTTAAGTCGTTCGAACTGCGTTTAAATGACTTTCCTACCGCTTAAAAAACAAATGTGAACCTATAATTATTATTATTTTTTTTAATGCTTGTAATACTACTTATAGCTGGGTAAAAAAAAAATAATATATACATTTTTTTTTTTTCTATAAATTATTAATATTTTTGCATACAACATCGAAAACTTTTTTTTCAGACTAACCATATTTAGTTAAAACTGCTAAATTTAAAAATAATACATATTTTCATATTAATTCTAAATTGTATAACGTAATTACTCAAGTATTCATTTATTAAATTTTTATTTTCAATTGGATTTAAATAAATAATATATTTTTTAAACATATTTTTAACACATTCAACCGTTAGGAATTTCAATTTTTCCTTATAATGAGAGTATTTATTTCCTAGTTTTAGCTCGACGTTTATTTTTTAAGCATATACTAAAAAAACTTCTGTACAAACTGGTTTTTATATTTATCTGTCAACATAAATACTCGATGTCACCAGCTTTAACATACTACGCGTACCCTTAATATTATAAAACATCATTATAATATGTTTGTACACTTCCAAAATGAAAAACATAAGATACTCATCGCCTTTTGTAGGCAATTAAATTACATCATTTTTAATTAAACATTTTAAACTATAAATAAATTTTTAGTTTTCTATAATAAAATCTAAAAATTGAAAATAGTTAAATTGGTTTCGTTACAATATATTTTATTATATTATGTTATTGTACTTATTAATTTAAGTAATTTATTTAATTTACTGCATATACACATTTTTCATTTAATAGAATAATAATGTAATTATACTTGTATATATTTTAAATTGAATACAATATAAATTAAGGAATGTACTAACATAACGTTACCTTCCCCTGTAAAATATGTAGTATTAACTATTAATAGAACCAAATGACCAATATTTCTTACCTGAATGATAAAAATTAATTATTAAATTAGAAATGTCACTGAAAGCGATGGCGATGCCAACCATACAATATTTAAATTTCTAAATTCTAATATATAATTTATAGGTACATCATAAGATCATGTTTAACAACAAGTATATAAAATTATTATTTTAATGATTCAAATAACATATACAGTCATTTGATATCCATCAAAATCCACACACATAACTATTATACATGTAATATATATATATATAAATATGTGTGTAGATTTTGATGGATATATATATTTTCTTTTTTAAATTATTGTTTTTATTATTGACGTCTTGGTTAGTTTGAGAAACTAATTTTGGGTATTTTAAAGATTTTCTTGAATAGATACAAAATTCAAATACATCACAGCTGATTATTTGATTAAACGATCTTGATGTTCCTCACGTAGATATACTCCTCTCCCCTCCACAAAAAAACACACTGCCTGTAGTGATTGTTTACACAAGATAAAAATGCTTTCCACAGCTCTATTATAGGCTAGTTATATGAGCCTGTCACGAATTTTATTTTCGGTGTACAATATTGTTCCCAGGAATTATGCATATCATTTATTTCTAAATAATATATTTTCTTATTATATACACGAGTGAAATTTATTACACTATAATATAGTATATTTTATTATTTTAAGAAATTGAAATTAAGTGTTTTTTACTTTTTAAGTTTTGGATTTAAAAAAAAAATCATTTAATGAATTTTAATATACTTATATTAAAAATATTTTGTATACTGAAATAAATTATAATATATGAAATAAATGTATGTTTCCAATAAAATATTTAACCATTTGAATATTATGAATTTTTTCGAAATTTTATATTTTATTATAGAATAAATAAGATGCATTAAATCACTAGCTGCACTTTTATGATTTACCTATTATTTATAAATCCATGCGCTTCTTTAACATAATACTTATTAATATTTTCATTTAATTTATGTTTGCTTATAAAATAGCTTCATTTATCCAAGCATTGTGTTTGTATTATGAGGAATTTATAAATCGACAAAAAATTCAATTCATTTTAAATATTTTACTTTTATTTATAATCTTTTTATATAATAATTTTAGTAAAAGATCTTTGATTTATTAGGTTTACAAACAAAATATATATTTTTCATAAATTGAATTTACGATATTCAGCA